CAGTCTGCACGGTCTGCACGGTCTGCATGGTCTGCGTTTTGGGGTGACCGGCCGCCAACTGTGCATTAACAATTAAAAAAAAAGAGAAAGAAATCAAGATCGTACCTTCCCTGCCACGGGCGCACGTCCCTTGGCAAACACCATCACCCTATTTTGACCTCTTTTGAACATATTGGGGCATATTTCATTAGTTGAACGAAATCGTTAGCAGATTCCATCACAAACACAAACTAAGAGCATAAAATGTTTGCAAAGCAAGAAAACAGACAGGCGTATGTTACGAAGCCCAGGTGCTACGCATTATGTTACATGTAAATAAACGTCGAAAACTCAGAACTTTAACTTTGATACATCCAGATGTAAATCCAAACATCCACGAGTATCGCGACAAGCTTGGTTCACTTCGATCAGCCCAATTTAAGCAATTCAGGTTCAGCTAATCCAGGTTTTCTACAGACATTAAAGTGAACTAAGCAAATACGGGAACCAAAAGAGTGAAATTGTACAAATGTGACCCTTACCGACTGTTTCTTTCAAGTACAAGTGTCCAAAGTTCTTCGAAAACAACAACATGGCGGGTCGAAAAATCAAGAACAACCCACGTGCTTCATAACACATAACACAAAGACGATACGTCATATACAGGTCCGCAATGGTAGCTACGGCGTATGTTTGTAGATAACGGGCATTCCTGGGTTCCTGGGCTCCAGGCTTTAGTCTCTCTCCGATTACTACATTGCCTGCGCGTTTTCACTCGGGCTTCCGTAGGAAAGCCCGAGTCATAAAATGCAAGCGTTTTGGTCGCCAAAAGGGGGATCATGTTCCCAGGCGTTCCATGCGTAGACCATGGAAACTGGGGACGAGAAATGCGACAACGCTCGCTCTTCGTGACAGAATGCAGTGTTTTGTGAAGAACTTCTTGGGAAGAATCGCGCCTTATACATTCATCTCACATACAAAGATGTCGATTGTTTTTGGAAAGGGTCGGTCCACGAATTATATTGCTTGAAAGCCAGCCAGGTAAGCA